ATAAATGATTTTTAATGAAAAATGTTAAACGGAACAATTACATGGCTTGAATGGGGTGCTTCTCTGCATATGCATCGCGCATATTTTATGCCTTTATACATGTATGCCTTTTGTCCGTGTGTAATTTTCTCCTTTATATTCATAGGGCGCGTGACGCAAGCGTGAAGCGATAAACTTATGGCTCGAGGTAGGGGGAGGATATATTTTAAAAATCTCACGCTTCAGGAGCAGTTACATGATCGCGAGATTAATCCGCGTATGTGGCGCGTAATCCGTTTATCGGCCGACTAGGATGTCCGACGTAATCAGTGTCAAAATAAATGTAATAACGTTGATGACGGGCGCGAATCGAGCGGACAATGCAGTTAAATGTCATATGATGTCACGTGTTGTAAACTTTGGTCCAGAAACTTTCGCGTCTCGATGATACGGCGTTAAACTTTTGTATTAGACTCCTGTGATTTATCGCCGCTCTCGCGGGAGAAAATTTTTCTCCAGAGAAAAGATCAACAAATCGGGCTTCGAGAGGAGACCTCGGGAGGTAATCCCGGAAATCTTTCGGGGATCTCTCGCGTCAAGAAGTTCGGTGGCTTAAGTGGTCTAATTCTATTTCGCCTCGAAGTACCATATTCTTATGTAGATGCATTCGAATGAGAGTCTGACCGTAATATTCCGAGTACCCTAAGGGGTGTTATGTGTGTTCCCTATGTCCTCTACATTATCCTACTGTAAGGTCGATAGCTTTTATTTCGAGGATGGGCGAAATTATATATAAATTAATAAAATATACACATGTGGTATTCTTATGAATTAAATTATTTTTTATTTTCAAAATTGATATTTTTTTTTTCAATTGTGCTTAACTATTATTTAATTGTCTATTGGTAATATTATTTAATAAAAATGGCATAATTTTGTGCATTACTATCCTTAATTCACGAAATTATTTTTTTTATAAAAAATCTCGCATGCATGCGAACAAAATCAGTGGAATGGAACGAACGTTAGAAAGCTTTCCTCCGATTGTTTCTACTTCCGTACAAGATTGCATCGTTATGCAAATCGCGCACAGTTTAAACGGCATTCGCAGCGAGACGCGTTTCTGTATCTTCCCAGAGGAGTTACACCCGCGGCGATTCGACACAGTACATTAAGTCAGACTGTCGTTTACCGTAATTTACCGACGACTCTACCTTCCGAACGATTAGGGCCCCGCGATAGCAGGGAGGAGTCGAAAACTGTTGCTTCCGGGCAAGGTTTCCGCATCGCTTGAAGTGAGGCTGCAAGAAACCATAATCGCTTTCTCTTTTCCGCGCTTTTTTACGTCACAATTTTCTATTTTTTTTTTTCAAAATGTATTGGAGACAGTCAGACCATTGGGTTTCGAAATTGTCTCTTGGACGGGAAGAAAGTGAAGTCTTGCGTGGGAAAATCTCTTCTGCATGTTTAATCAACAAGAATCGTCTCTTCCTGGTCAGATATATGCCGCGATTTCCGATGCATCCGTTATAGTGTTCTATAAACTCTTTTATAGCTTTCTTTTTTACTTGGAAAAATCACTCAGGTAATCATTATACTGTGATTACTATACTTATCCTGCATGAAAATATATACGTCGAATATAAGTGAAGTTTTTTGTTACGTCACATGCGATATTATAACGGATGCTAGATGATAGATGCGTTTGCTAGACGCGATAAGAGAGAAGGATACCCATTTCCGATGCTAACAATCTAAACAATCTAGGAAATGGAGGGTCAACCTTTTATCGCGCGCGAAAATCGGGTTAAGTCGTTCTAATCAACTCGTCAACACGATACATATATGACAGAATATAAGTCAACTACACTATCGGTAACATGATATGAGATTGACTGGACAAGAGAAGGGAACTAAACGATTATGATCTCAACTGTCTTTATCGATCAATCGACCAAACTCTAACCGATTTGGACCATGCAACTTTTTTTAATCGGAAAGTTGATTAATCATAATCAGGCTGATAATCGCTAATTGTTTGTAGAGAATGGTCACGGTTCTAGAACAGTATCGTGCCATTATCTACCGACTCGAGTTTTGCCGCGCGAATACTACAATATGTATAAAAAATGTCAAAAGATCGTGTATATCAACTGATTTATTGTTGCTCCGAAATTTTATATTAAAATATTGAACGCTTTATAAAATAATTCCATGCCAAAAGTTGATTAATCATAATCAGGCTGATAATCGCTAATTGTTTGTAGAGAATGGTCACGGTTCTAAGAACAGTATCGTGCCATTATCTGCCGACTCGAGTTTTGCCGCGCGAATACTACAATATGCATAAAAAATGTCAAAAGATCGTGTATATCAACTGATTTATTGTTGCTCCGAAATTTTATATTAAAATATTGAACGCTTTATAAAATAATTCCATGCCAAATAATCTATTTCTCTCCATTTCTGATTATTAATAAATTGATTGAATAATAAATATGATTTATTAATCAATTGATTAAAAAATGTGATAAATAATAAACTAATTGACACATAACAGTTTTCCATTACCTTAATTATCCGATACGGCGGTTTATGTATTATTCTACGCTCTATATAGCAATTGTGTTTTCTGTGTTTCTTGCGTTACTTGAATTTTCGGAGATTTGTATATTTTACTCCGCTTTTTTAATCCTAAAATGATGACGATAATTGAATTATATATCGGCGAGAAAAATTTAAAGCGCGATGCAATTACGCCTTGAGAAACAACATCGCTTTGCACGTGAGACGAAATAAAATCTATAAAGCACTGGATCTCGAGATCTCGCGAATGAGTGCATCATTTATTTCGAATTATAGTCACAATCAACAGCTTACGTCAAGATTATATCAGAAATGGTGCTATCAGATTACGGTTCCAATTCTAGAGATATTTTAATTGAAAGTACGTTTGACATAAGAATTTTCTTCGGATAAGCTACTTTATACGTCGAAGAAGAGAATCGTCAACGAAGGTGCGAATGAAAAAGTCAAGCAAAGATAACTGACTTAAGAAAATTTCCGTAGTAGCACACAACACCTCTATTCATTCGCGAGAGTTTCGCTCGCTTCCGTTCATCATTTTATTTATCGTCCCCTTCGGCGGCGGTTATTCGACCTCTGTCGCGTTACCGCAAAACGCTATTAAGCTACCGTTATCTAGGTAATAAGGGCCTTTAGTCGCGCGCTTAAGGCGCTTATAATGATGGGCGCGTCACAAAGCGCGCGTTACCGCGATTCGATATACCGGTTAAACGTGGATTGTCAATTAACGGTCGTCAATAAATAAACGTTCTCGTCCCCCGGTAAAGATCTTCCGCACGCTCGAAAAAAACGCGCAAGATGCTCTTATGGGACATCTTCTACAGTACCGGTGAAAAGTATCGCATCATCCCTAAAAAATACACAAAACGCAAGTAAAACAAGTAAATGATTTTTTATCTTTTTCCCCATGAGCTGTTTCGCTCATGTTCATAAAATTATCAAAGCATAAAATAACAGTAATGAAATATAATTTGGTAAATGGATATCTTTAGTTAATTATAATATTTATATTTGTTTTTGTTCGTTAAAGTAACGACTTTCTTGTTTTTGCAAGTGATGCAATATTTTTATGACCGATAGTGTAGTTTCTATTACAAACTTTATTTTAACATAATGAATTTCGATTCGAATATTATTTTAATAATGTTATTTTTATCTTTACTTTGATAAAAAAAGCTCGCTATTTGTTCTGTTTGTTCTTCAGTGTTTCGTTCACATAAAAATCAGGAAAAAGGAGCTTATTGGCGGGATATTGGACAAAATCGATGAATTTTTATATTTTTACATATCTAATATAAATGTTCTGTTTGAAGTCATTTTACATTACAACCATTAAAATAATTTGATTGATAATTTTAATCAATATTATAATCCAACGATACTCGTCAGGCGCGAGATATAAATATATAATTATCTAAATATTATATATTATTCGAAAACATGTAGTATATATGTAATTATACATTTATATCGCCATCGCACGTGCTATTTGGATTGCAAGCGGTCCGATCTCGGGTGAATTTAATGAGTTTGTACAACGAGCCGATTATATTATCGCTGAAATTATGACTTGAAGTATAAAATTGTGTAATCATGCACTTCGCTAAATACGTAATCACGAATGACGATATGTACTGACACAATACGTACCGCCGCGATGGCAGCAAATCGATACCCGCGTCCGATACAATCCTGATCATCCCGACGTAGGTCAGGCCGATGTTGATTTAGTCGAATGCGAGCAGATAACCCATTATCTGTCAAAGTATCGAAGAGCCACTGGCCGAGGCACTCCATCAAACTGACGTATTAATCTGATTAATCCCTGCGCGCCAATTGTCGACGCCAGGGTAAAGTTTCGCGCTATAATTAACACTCGAATACTTGCCTTTGCGTCAAATAGATCAACTTTAGCACAACCTTTTAACTGTAAGGAGGAAACGAGTATATTTTGTGCTAAAGAAGATTTTAGAATCTCTACCTTTTTTCTTCTTTTTCGAATAAAAAAGATAAAGAGATATTTAACGACTTATCTCTTATCTTTACTTTAATTGATTTAACTTGAAGCATTTCTTCGAATATGCGGTCAAGCGAGATAAAGAACAGTTCTGTTGACGACGCAAAAATTTTTCAAATGATAACAAAAAATTAATAGATGTTATAAAATTAGTAAAAAATAGCGAGCGCTTTTTCTTTCACATTTAATAATCGTCAGTGGATAGAGTTATTGAGATCTTTTTCTACCAGTGTTACTTTTCCAAAATGATTCCATTTGACGATAGAACGTTTAATTATTTTATTACAGTCTATGCTGCGCGCATGTTTTAATTCATTACTAAATTAATTATGCTAGAAAGCTTGACACCGTTACAAATATCAAAAGTACCGATCTGCAGAGGAAAGGAATTATAAATATCGCTTTATATTGTTTTCAGCGACGTAACAATCTCGTCGAGTGTCCGCGAATGGTTACGCTCGCCAGCCTTCGACGCGCGACAATGGGAAGATGAAGAGCTGCTACTGATGCTGCAGACCATGTTCGTCGATCTTGACCTGCCTGAAAAGTTCAACATTCCCTTGCCAATTCTGAGGAACTTTCTTTACGAGGTCTACAATAATTACAACGAGGTGCCGTTTCATAATTTCAGGCATTGCTTCTGCGTGGCACAAATGGTAAGTATCTCGTTTTTCTATTATTCGAACTTTTATGTGATCCTTCGAGAAGAGACGAACGGAGAGAACCAATAGTGCAACGTATTAGTAGTAACCTATTTTAATATCCGCCGATGAGAATACTATTGTAATTATAGGAAGGAAACGAGAATATTTTGTTCGCTGAAAAAGATTTTAGAACTCTGTCCTTTTTCTTTCTTTTTTTCAAGTGAGATAAGTATATATCAACATAAATCGAATTTCAGTTATCGATTATTATCGAGGTACGAGCTCTCAATATCTTGGTGTATTATAAGAAATCTTATTTGTATTACACTCTGAAAGAATTACACATCGCAATATTTTTGTAGAGATATGTAGTCAACCTTGGAGTGTAAAACGTCAACAATTTTTTTTTTCATTAGATATATAGTACTCTGTTAAATTGTAGACAGTGTTTACAATGACGAATACATACAAGTTACTTTCGCAGTTTTTGCGTCTTCAGAAAATATATTTTAATTTAATTAGCCGTAGCAATGGTTGTGTTTTAATTAACATAATTAAATAACAAAGTATATTTGTGTTTCTTGTGGGATCACTCTGTATAATGACATGGATTTAAACGTGACGAAAATCAACAATATTGTAAATTAAATTTTTCTTTTTATGATTGATCGAAATACGCATGCATGGCAAAATATTTTTTTAGCTGTAGATCGAAAAAGAGCCATATCGATTCAGCGTTAATTGATTGTGTCCAGATGTACGCGATAGCCTGGGCGGTGGATCTTCCGTCGAAAATCGGCGACCTCGAGGTTCTCATATTGATCGTCTCCTGCATCTGTCACGATCTCGATCATCCGGGCTACAACAATATCTATCAGATAAACGCGCGGACTGAACTAGCACTGCGTTACAACGATATCTCGCCTTTGGAGAATCATCACTGTTCCGTGGCGTTCCGGGTCCTGGAGGCACCCGAGTGCAACATCCTCGCGTCCTTGGACAATCTTACCTATAGAATAGTGCGCGAGGGCATTATACGATGCATCCTAGCGACCGACATGGCCCGGCACAACGAGATCCTCGGCCAGTTCATCGATATCATTCCTGAATTCGATTATACCAACAGAGCACATATAAATCTGGTAAATACGCCGACTAATGGAGTTAGTAGGTTAGTTGTTAATTTAATCGAATGAAACATTAAATAATCAATACAATTACGTATTTTGCAGCTATCCATGATCCTTATCAAGGTAGCCGACATAAGTAATGAGGCGCGCCCGATGGAAGTCGCGGAACCATGGCTGGACAAGTTACTTCAAGAGTTCTTCAAGCAGAGTGACGCGGAGAAACTCGAGGGTCTTCCGGTCACGCCATTCATGGATCGCGACAAGGTGACCAAACCATCGTCCCAGGTTAGCTTCATCGGCCTAGTTCTTCTCCCCCTCTTCGAAGCCCTCGGCGAACTTCTTCCCGAGCTACAGGTATTTCCTGTTCTCTTTTGTACGTGGATTAATTTATTCGTGCTTGCAATGAAATGGATCGGCAACCATTCTTGTATAAAACCTTCGAAAATTAATATCGGTTTTTTGCATGAACAGATCTTTATATACACGAAACCTTGCTTTCCAGAATCTCATAGTTCAACCCGTCAGGGAAGCTCTGGAGTACTATCGCAGACTGAACGAGGCAACGAGGCTGGAACGTCATCATCGGAAAAGTGTCATAGATGTCGGAGAATCAGGTATATCCAATGCGCCGAGCGGCGTTGGCAGCTCGTCAGCTCGTCCCAAATCCACGTCGTCGCACAGCATGCGTTCAAAGCGATCCGCCACGACAATCCACTCGCACTCGCGCTCCACCGACAACGATATTACGGAGAACTTGACGATGGAGGAGATGGAAAATGTCGAGAGCTCTGATCCGGAGACCGCCACGGAAGTAGAGATCAGCGAGAAGACGCTCAAGTTCAAGATTTCCACCGAAGGCACACTGGCCGGCCCGACTACCGGCCGGAAGAGTTGCCCCAGCAGCCGCAAGGGCAGCCGGGAGAAATCCTCGTTAGATTATCATAATCAGGATCTGATCAAGGCCGTTCGGAAACACGAGCGCGAGAGGAGACGCAGCAGCAGATGCGAAAATCTCGGTAGCGATCTCAGTTTGCCGGTCAGCGCGAGATCCCGCCGAAGGCACGCGTATTCTCGAGGAAATTGAGAAGGAGGCGACAACATTTCTAGTCGCTAAAATTGAAGACAGAGCGCCAGAGGGAAACGGTAATATCGTCGTGGCAGAGGCCCACTCGCAACCGAGGAACAACGTGAAGAAGGCCGGCACGGTCATAGAAAATATTCATGAAATCCGATCTAGTCGTAAGGATGCACACGGCAGTCGAGAATCAATCAATCTGCGATGTTGCTGCGACGACAGAACTGGGTCGAATAATCACAAGTCTTTATTCTCACGGCTGAGAAACTTTACGGATCGTCTGAGCAGCAGTTTTGACTCTAAGGATTCGCCCAGTCCAAAACCAAAGCACGCGTCCAAGATGCTCACTAAGAGCAACTCGGTGAGCAGCGGTTCCGCCGCGACTTCGGGGAGGCATAACAATTCTTTGTTCATCTGTAAGCGCTGCAACCTTGTTAAGTCTTCGATTAAGGACAACAGCAAAGCTATTGGAACTGTGGTGGAGTCATCGTCGGTTGACAAACGAGCGATGACTCTGCCCAAGATTCGCAAATTCACAGACAGCAAGAACAAAAGCTGGCGGACGGTGTTCACTAAAGAAAAGAGATTGTCCACTTCTTTGGAGGCTTTGCCGGCAGCTGGCTCGTTTTCCAAGCACCGCAGAAACTTATCGAATCCCGAGGGCAAGTCACAGAGTATGAAGGAAGTGAAAAGATCTCGACAGGGTCTGGATATCGAGTTTCAAGAGATCGATGTACGTCTGAAGAAACAGCAGCAGCCTGAAATCATAGTCAATCCCGATGATACCTCATGCGACATTGAAGAAGATCTCGGCAAGGTGGAGATTAGGAGAAGCTCAGCCAGTATGGAAGACATTTCTAAGATGGCAAAGCAGGCGGAAGCGGTCATACTGGGTTCGCTGAATTCCAAGGCGGAGGAACGTCCGCACACCGGTAGTCTGGATTCGATGCTCTGCAAGGAGGTGTTTAAATCACGAAAGAAGCATTCCACTGTGTTCGCGTCGCGCGCCACGACCAAAAAATCATCGCCCGGTCTATTCTCGCGATTCAAATCCGGTATGAGCATTGACAGTACTCGAAGCAACAGCAACAGCGATTCTCTGCACGATCACGGTTAGCAAAGCGGCTGGATATCTTCGTTGACGGCCAGTTTTCGGCCAAAGAGGCACCCGAATGAAACGCCGCTGTCGCCGCATCCACCGAGGTCGCCCAGCAGAGAAGAGATCATGTAATACGTCCTGGTGGTCGAGGATCCCTCTGAGAAGAAGCTCGGGCTTCGCGGTTGGTGGCCCGAAAACCTGTTCTGCTGCAACAGTTAGGACTCCAATGGAAAAAGTTTGAGCCTAGTTTAGGCTCAGAAATATCCAGGAATGTCTGTCGCATTGTAATACAAGGGAAATTAGTAAAATAATTGTCAAGAAAAATTTTGAAGAGGTTTAATTTTTTAACAGGTATCATCATGTTTCTCATCGAGATATTAATTATCGGTACCGATTAATAGCTACAATGTGCAGACATAAAACTCCGATTAAATGCATCGGTGATATTTATTAAATATATGTCGCGACATAAAAAGTAGAATGAATTCTTGCGATTAATTTGTGATAATTAATGTCACATCGCAAAATGCACGCGTATATAGGAGAATAAAATCTATCCCCGTATAATTAAAAGCAGTCAATTTCGAACAAACGTAATATTTGCTCGAGTAAGCCATTTATCGAAAAATAAGAAACAAAATGTTACATATCTAATATATAATTTCCGATTAAATTGAATTCTTTTTAATTGAATTTTTCTTGCGGAGGGATCCTCATACGGACCATGATTTTATGCCATCAACTTTGACTGTTTTATGTCATAACGATGCGAAGTCGCGAGAGTCGAAATATTTTATTTGCGAGGGACACTTACGGTCTGTGGAAAACGAGGATGTGTATATATATATGCTGTATACATAGACTATTTTATTTATTGTCTAATTAAAGAGTAGCCTAACAAGTGATCATTAATGTTGTTCGTTACTATGCATACATACATACATATATAAATATACGCAGTGTATACAAAGACATAAGAATATAACGCATCTCCACTAGGAGCAAGTGGATAATTTTAAGTAGAAGAGACAAACACAAATAGATATGTAAGCGTGGCTCGTGTATCGATGTGCGATTAAGTTTCGGGGACTGTATCAAGGATGTGAGGTAAGAAAATCTTGTCAGACCATTTTTAAAATATTCTATGAATAATCTTATTTTTTAAACCAACGCCCTCAAAAGTTTTTAGAGATATTATTTTCTAAGAAAGCTACTTTTAAAAGAAAAACTTACTTTTTTCTCAAAATATTTCTCGACACATTATTCGACACTTGTACATTATTCTCGAATTATTCTGGGATATTCTTGAGAATCCTAGAATATTTTCAGATTATTTTCACTTTCCGAGAAAATTGTCATTTTATATCAGTAGTTGCCATGGCGAAATAAAAAAAATGGAGGAGATTTATTAGATTTATTAAGTGTGTTTCTCATTGATTTCTCCATAACTCGGAAAGCACTAGAAAAATTGTTTAGCGAATCATTTTTTGTCTCTCTAATCGTGTTATTAAAACATTATTCAATTTGGAAAACGATTTATTAAACTTGATTGATTTGATTGAGGAGAAGAGATCTGTTTAAAGTTTCTTGAATAGCTCAATAAAATGATTTTAGTATTTTTTTAACATCGTATCCCAAAAAAGTACATAAAACTGATAACAGGAATATAATCGATCGGTCTTTTTTCGATTATATATCTATATTGGACTCTATCTACCCTGTTATTGTTTAAAAATTCAGATAATTTAGTGGCTTATTGATATACATAAATACACGCATGCATAAACACGCGTAGGTACAATTATTTTTGTACGAGAGAGAGACTTTCTGCTCTACATTTTTTTAGATATTTATATTTTTGTATTTTATCATATACACACAATTGCGTATATATGGCAATTAAAAAAATCGCACGTGTTGAATTCTAGTCTTACATTATTGTTTTTAGACCAATTAAAAGTTGATTTTAGGCTGATCTTAATTTGGGCAACAGTCTCTGCGAAGAAAACCCTCGACATGTGTGTGAACGAGCGACATTTACTTGACTGAATATTTGACTAACGAATTTTTATCTCTCTCTCTTTTCGTGTCGTAGAATCAATAATTGTCGATTAAATCAAGTGGAACTTGATGTGCATGTGTGACGATACGAATGAAAAAATTAAGTCCACGCGTAAAGTTGTCTAAAATATATAATTTTAACAAATAAAAGAAAAGATAAAAAATTGCGTTAATTTCATGATTTTTTTATTCGGTAAATTTCTGCTGTCGAGACGTGAAGTCGAATGATAAAATGTATATATAGAATAGAATAATTATCTTTCAAGTAGAATATATAAACCTCCTGTGTGAGAAAAACTTTCCTTGAAATTGAGACTTGAATTAGTATACTCGTTTTCCTGAAAGAAAGTTATTGTTGAAAAAAGGAAAGAAAAAATATTAAGGACAAAAAGATGGAACGAATAGAAAAGCGCATATATATGCGGATGAAGGAGTTGTACCAGTGTATGTATAGAGAGCAACGCATATTATAATAATAATGATAAATAATCAAGTTCTCTCCTCGATGTGAATGAAAGAAGGCATTTGATTTTGATTCTCTTCTCGAGTCAGGACCACTATAATTAATCATACAAATCTATCGTATTTAGAGATTTTGATCTTAATCAGATTTTACGCTTATAACGAATTCTAGAATAATTGCAAACTCTATAATTGATAACATTAACGAAAAAATGATCAAATTGCTATACGTTCTTTACCGAAGCGCATAGATTAAACTTCGAACGGATCAAGCGTTTATTAGAAAACTTGTATCACGACCAAAGCAGAATATTCTTAAGACTTGACACATCTTAGAGAAAATCAAATGCACTTTTTTCTTTTCGTATCGCTCACTCTTTGTGCCTGATTGTTACTAATGTTCAAGACTAATGTTGAAGAAAGGTATTCATATGACTAATTTTACAACTTTTTAACTATATAAGCTAATACATTCTAAATTATTGTCAAACTTTATCAAATTAAAATTGCTATTAAACTGAAGATTTTACGATATAGAACGCGAAGAAATTAAATTATCTTGAGTCTTACAATTAGTTTGATATCTATTTATCATATTTTATGAAATAAATGCGATTATTAGCGTTATATATATATTTTTTTTTAGAAACTTTTTTCAGACTTTCAAGAGTGCCAGCGTATGAATACTTTCTTCCAAAACTAGTCATGTTTGCAGTTTCTTACCTACTATCTCTTAACTATCTATCAAAATCTTGATTAAAAGATGATCAATTTTCAACGGTCTTCGGAGAGTTTCGCGAGAGATAAACTAGAAAATCTATTTATATGAAAATTCAAAGTTCCATATAGTCGCGAAATAAAATTCGACTTGTAAGATCGTCGAAATATTGATTTTCGCTTTTCGTGGTATCTAACCAGTAGATACCCTCCACAATTGCGTAATAAAAGAATAGATAAGAAATAAATAAGTGAAATGAAGCGGAACACAGAATTGGGCCAATCGAGCCGTAGCGTACGGCATCGTTTTACTCGTCAATTGAATCTTTAGTCTCCTTAGAATTTTTCTCGTATTCCAATTATCGTCGTTAATTATTGGGATAAAATATATTCGACTCAATCGTATAATTAATTCTCGCCTCTCTCTCTCTCTCCCTCTCTCTCTCT